CATCTCCAGAGACAACAGCAGAAAGCAGGTGTATCTGCAGATGAACAGCCTGACAACTGAGGATTCAGCTGTTTATTATTGTGCTCGAGAGTCACAGTGAGACAAAAGGAATAAACTCTGTACAAAAACCCATCAAACTACGTCAAACACTGATTTTAGGTTTTTCCCCCAAATTAAAGAAAAATACATTTAACTCACTCACACTCAAAACTACAATAAACTTGGTTTTGTGAAGCCTTGGTGTTGTACAGTTTTACAATAAATATTTTAAATGTAAATGTTTTCATCTGTCATGTGTGAATTAGGATGATTTTATTTTCCAAAACTACAAACAAATCCAACACTAAGTTTGTTTTTTAAATAATATTTCCTTTTATTTGCACTAAAATTTTTACTATTTATACTAAATGCCACAGTGTGACCTGTTTTCTCTCATAATGTGAACAGCTGACACAGCCAGCCTCTATGATTGTGCAGCCAGGTCAGCATCTGACCATCACCTGTCAGGTCTCTTATTCTCTTGGCCACTGGACAGCTTGGATCAGACAGCCTGTAGGGAAAGGACTGGAGTGGATTGGGATGAAAAGTACTGGGAGTACTTACTACAAAGATTCACTAACGAGCAAGTTCAGCATTGACTTAGACACTTCAAGCAAGACAGTGACTCTAAATGGACAGAATATGGAGCCTGAAGACACTGCTGTTATTGTCCTCCAGAGACACAAGGCAAAGACTCAATCCTTTCATAAGTTGTTAGATCTGCTTTATTATTATTTTATTAATTTTCTTTTATTATGTATTATGAAAAAAACTAATTTCAGTCTAATGATACAGTAATCTGTTCCTTTATATTCAATGAAAGAGAAAAAAACTGAATTAAAAAATTTGAAAAATCGGCTATTCTATATAACTACAAACTGTGTTCTGTTACATTGTGCCGTCTGCAGCAGAGACACCCTACAGTAAATGGACAGAATATTCAGCCTGAAAACAGTGCTGTGTATTACAGGGCCAGCGTCAGAAAAAAAAGCTCTAAGACTGCTAACAAATTCCTGTTTTTTTGTGTCTCTTTATTTTTTTTTTATAAATCCTTAGCAATGACTCTATTGTGAGTTTGTAAGTATTGATAAAGCCCTGAAACAAAATGCCAGCACATGAAACTGAATTCAGTTATCAATAATGTTATAAAGTGATTAATTTGTGGCATAAAATGATTTCATTAAAATAATATTTTAGTTTTGGAGGTTGTATTTATTTATTATTTCGTACTTTTTAATCTATAAACCAATAAAATGTAAATTATGCAAAGTACTTATTTATATACAGAAATATAGAACATAACATTTACATGTACAGTAAATGTTATAACATTTTTTCCAAATGAAAAAAAGTTTTTTTTTCTTTCAGTTTTATTAGCAATTAAATCAAACTTTGTCACGTTGTATGGATTCAACATACAGAGTCGAGCAAGGTCATGACCTCTGAAGTTCTCCTCTTCCTCTCATATTGATGTCTGCACTGTAGACTGGACAGAAACAAATGGCTTCCACAATGTTTAGAAATTATATTTGGCTTGCTTTTCTCATTTTTATTTATTCCAGCCTGCATAAGCCAAAGAGGCAGAGTTCACCCAGGACATGTCAATAACTTGTCACAAGGACAAGTTTAAATTTTTCTTT